ACTAGAAGGGGCATTTGGAGAGCAGTCTCTGACACTAAGTTTTACACTATACCCAAAAATATTTACAAAGATACAGAAAAGAGACAAAAATTCTTAATGAAGTTAAAAACTAACAATAACTTAGTACTACAATTTGGTAAAATTTGGCAAAATCAACTACAAAATCTATGCTGTCAACTTAGAATCGTAACTTACAGTCAACCGTACCACTTAGAACAAGTTAGTTGTTCTGCTAGTCACAAAGAAAGTTAGAATGATTCTTCATCTCTTCCTTCTACTTCCTGTTCCATGGTTTAAGAACCATCATTTTATCTACCCCAAAAGTTCACAGAAAAAATATTAAAATAGGAGTTATTGGGAACAGAAAACCAATCACTGAAAATTCTCACTTGTAACAGGGAGCTAAACTAAGGATCTACAAAGACATAGAGAATAGTGCAATGGACACTGGAGACTCAGAAGGGGGAGGAAAGGGTGGAAGGACCAAAAAAAACACATATCGGGTACAATGTACATGGGCGAGGGGTGGGTACACTTCAAGTTCAGACCAAAAACTATTTGGTACCATTTTCTCTGCCAGTCTGTAGTCTTCCAAGTGGCAGACAAGGCAGGTAGGCTATTGGCAACCGCCCAAGAGTCAGTATAAATGTAGCAAGTTTCATCAAGGGGTCAGGTTTTGGTCAAGGAGAGAATGACTGCCTCAGGTTATGCCCACTGAGTAGAGTGACCATACCAGCTTTTGGTTTTACAAAGCTGGTGCTTGGCTGAATGGTAGCAGCAGCAGTCTAAAGACACTAGACACTACTACCTTTTAACTTTGTGGAATATATCAGCAGCCTGACCCAGGCATTTAGGGAAACCACTGTGAATTCAGGGCCCTGCTGAACCAATGCCTACATTTCAGGCAGTGGAATAGGGCATTTAGCTTGCCACTAGCGTGGTAGCTGCCAATTTTTCATGTATACCTGAGATCACGCTAGGGCCAAGCAGTTGTTCTTCTGAATATACCATTTGCATTTGAACAGAGAAAGGCTTGCTAGATCCCTTCCACCTTGCAAGGCACCAAAATGTAAATGTCACATTGCAGAGTTATAAGCCTTCCTTGGGTCAGACATTCAGTTCAAACAAGAGCTTAGCAGCAGCTTAAGAGCTCCTTGTTTTAAAAAGGAATATACTTGGTGGCTGAGTTAGGCAGGTGGCACTGTTGTACTTGGAAACAGCCTCTCGGGGTAGTCCAGCAAACATGAAATCTATAACTAAAGTTGTAACTGTTCTTTCTCCTTCTGGGATTCTTTGTTGTTTCCGCTGCACCACCTGGGAGCAGACAGTCCATGTAGTAATCACTAAATGAGAGCATTTCCCACTGGACTTCACAAGCATTCATGGTATAAGTATGTGAAATACCATAATGAGTTATATATTCAGACATGGGAACCAAAACAATAGCACATCAAATCAGTCAAGTTTGAGCACCTTTTCCTTTAGAAACACAGATCAAGGAGTATGTGTCAGAGGCTAAAAAGTAGTTATCAAGACTGCTATTATCCACCAAGAACACACAGAGAGAGGCAGGCAGTGGGAAGAAATTTAAATGTTGACTTTTTTCTCCCCAACCTGTGGAGCCCTTGTCCTTCATCTTTCAGAAAGTCATATGTCTGTCAACATTTCACCCTTGACAGTCTCCAAAACTATTAACAACTATAAGAGTCTACAGTCTGATTTTACCTGACTTACAAACTAATAAGTTAGCCTTTTAGTGTATCTGATAGAAGACATGAAGTCCTGGGTCAAAGACATGTGACTTTGTTGTTCATGACATAGCAGGCAGCAAGTCCCACAGGGAACAAAAAAATATGGATCTAGGTGGAAACTACACAAACAGTTGGTGTGTGTTTCAGCTGAAGAGTACTGGACTTGGGGAACCACTGCTTTACAGAAAGCAGTAAAACAAACCTGTTCCCCCATCCCCATCCCAGAAGGGAGACATTACCTCATTCTTCAACATTGCTTGCTGCAAACATAACCCTGAGAAGTGTCCCAGGTAAAGACTGATCAGAATCTTGCATTTTTCACTAAAAAAGAACATGCAAGAACTCACAGGGCCCATGGCAGATTGCTTTTCCTACTAGCTTCATGTAAATTTTTTTGTAATCCTCAAGATACATTAATTTCTATTAAAAATTATAAAATCTGACACTAGCAACCAATGACAATATAATAAACCTTAAGTACTACCAAAATCTCCTTGAAAAAATGCACTAGAAAAAGAAAAATACACTAGTGACAAAAATTTTATAGTGAGTTCATTTATACTTAAAGGAACAGATAATTCCTATGCTATATTAACTCATCCAAAATAATAGGGCTGCATAATTCACTAAGTAAAGTTAGAATGACTCTAATAAAAAGAACATCAAATAATGTAAACAAACATACAGCTAGCCTCATTTATTAAAAGAGAAACATAAAAACAAAGCAATCTTAATTCAAAAGTAAATGAAGATAATCCCATACAATTAATGAGTATTAATGAGTAGCTTTCCTTAGAAATGCAACAGTATATTTTAAACTGAATTTTAATACATCAGTATATCCAATGAGAAAATCTTTGTATCCATCTCAGTAGATGAAAAAATTGATAAAATAAAGCAATTATTTCTGTCTTTAAGTTTTAAGTAAGGTAAGAACAGAAAGCCATACCATGCTGTATAATGAGAAATTCAAAACAATAGATATAAATTTTTCCTAAATTAACCAACAGATTTAACATAATTCTAATCAAACTGTACTAGGGCTTTTGTGGAGGGACAGCTTGGAGGACAAAAGGATTCTAATTTTAAAACATCAACAAATACAAGGAACTAAGAAATTATGCAGGAAAAAAGCAGCATGAAGAAGAAATTTCACTTCAGATACTGAAATATATTCTAAAGCAATAAATGTTAAAACAGTATGGCACTGCTACAAGACAGAGCAGCAAAAATAGCTATGAAATAGATAAAAATATAAATATAATACAATAATTGACTATCTACTAGGTTGAAGACTTACTTTTTGACAAAAATAAATTACAGACAGATTAAAAATTTAATAGAGGGTGCGAAAAAATGTCTACACATTTTAAGGAAAAAAACAGTATAAAATGGTAATACTCAATATATACCAATAACAAAAGATGAATACAAGTCACCTTTGACTTCTGCAATTACAAGAGGTGCTCAAAGTGGTTACCATCAGCATCCAGACACTTCTGATTATGGTGAACTAAAAGTAATACACAGCATCCCTTAAAATGTTTATACATTTTTTTGACACCTCTGGTACACAAAAGAAAAAACTTTTAAAGAAAGCTATTGGACAGTATTAATAAAATCTCAACCAGGCTTGAAAAAAAACTATTAAGTATCAAAACAGTACAAAAGTCACACGCACAGGAAAAAGTTGACTACATAAAAATAAAAGGCTTTTACATATTAAAACCACTTTGAAGTATAAGAAAATATTAGAAAAGGTTTATAACAAGTAAAAAGTATAAATATGAGTAATTAAATATAAATTACTGTTTAATATATAAAGAGCTCTTTTTTTTTCCTGAGTTGGAGTCTCACACTTATTGCCAAGGTCGAAGTGCAGTGGCCCACTCACGGCCACCGCAGTGTTGACCTGCTGGGCTTAGGCGATCCTTCTGTCTCAGCCTTTCAAGTAGCTGGAATTACAGATGCACGCTACCACGCCCAGCTAGTTTTTGTAATTTATTGTAGAGATGAAGTCCCACCAAGTTGCCCAGGCTGGTCTCGAGCCCCCGGGCTCAGGCAATCCTCTCGCCTCAGCCTCCCAAAGTGCTGAAATTACAGGCTGAGCCACCGCACTCAGCCAAAGAGCTCTTTCAAAAGTAAACAATTATTGTTTTTTTAAGTATAAACAATCAGGCAATAAAACATACACTGGTAGGTATTTCTTTGTAAAAATAACTAATAAATTAATAATTATCTTGATTTGCTTCTTTAAAATTAAACACTTACAAAAAGTTAAAAAAAAAAAAAAGGTCTTAGTAAATATATTATAAAAAAGGCAATTCCACTTTACTTTTAAAAACATTTATTTGCCCGGGCACGGTGACTCAAGCCTATAATCCCGACACTTGGAGAGGTTGAGGCGAAAGGACTGCCTGAGCCTGCGGGTTCAAGATCAGCCTGGGCAACATGGTGAGACCTCATCTCCACAATTAATCAAAAAAGTTAGCTAGGCATGGTAGTGCACGCCTGTAGTTCCAGTTACTTGGAAGGCTGAGCGAAAGGATCGCCAGGGCCCAGCAGGTTGACACTGGGGTGGCCATGAGCGTGCCACTGCTATTGAGTCTGGTTGACAGAGTGAGGCTCTAACTAAAAAAAATTTTTTTTAAGAGACAGAGTCTCACTCTGTGGCCCAGGCTAAAGTGAAATGGCATGATCATAGCTCACTGTAACCTCAAATTCAAGTGATCCTCCCACCTCAGTCTCCTGAGTTCTACAGGCACATGCTACCATGCCTAGCTAATTTTTTTTAATTTTTATTTTTTGTAGAGACAGTATCACTATGTTGCCTAGGCTAGTCTCGAACTCCTGGCTTCAAGTAATCTTCCCAACTCGGCCTCCCAAAGCGCTGAGATTACAGGAGTGAGCCACCACACCAGCCTACATTATTGCTTTTATTCTTAATTTTGTTATTCCCCAGGTATGCGTTCTGTTTATATTTAAAAAGATACAGTCCAAATAAATCCACAGTTTTGCGTGTTTATTTCAAAAAACGCTTATATAAAACATATTTCATGTGTTTTATGATATTTTGGTATAACATATATTCTAAAATTAAAGGCTAATTAAGACAAAATAGTTCCAGATAAAGTTTTTCAATACACATTACATTCTAGGACATAAAATGTTTAAGAATATTAAACATTTTTATTATAAGAAATGTCTGTGATTTCAACTCTCCTCTCTATTCTTTCATTATTAACTTACCTTGAAGGAGCCTTCTTCAGCAGCTTTTTAATCTCATTAATTTTACAGGTGTGCTTCTTGTGAATAACCACAAATGCTTTACAACCATCTGGTGGCGGCTCATCAGCTGCAATCTAGGATTTCAAAGACTATATTTAGCTACAGTAGTTGATAATTACAATATGATTAAAAAACTCACACATTACTTTGATTAAAATAACTCATCAACTACTCTTAAGTTATTGCTCTAATTTTAAAAAATCTATATGAGGGCAGAATCTAAGTAACATTTCAATAACATCAACTTTATCCTAAGAAATACATACTTCAAAGTTAATAAAAAATTATATTAAAATTTTCATGGTAGTTTTTTTTTTTCTTTCTTTTTTTTTTTTGAGTCAGAGTCTCACTCTATTGCCAAGGATAGAGTATAGTGGCACACTCACGACCACCACAGCCTCCACCTGCTGGGTTCAGGTGATCCTTCCACATCAGCCTTCCAAGTAGCTGGAACTACAGGCACATGCCACCATACCCGGCTAATTTTTTAATTTATTGTAGAGGCGAGCTCTTGCCAAGTTCCCCAGGCTGGTCTCAAACCCTTGGGATAAGGTAATCCTCTTGTCTCTGCCTCCCAAAGTGCTGGAATTACAGGCGTGAGTCACCATGCCCAGCTGGTAGCTAATTTCAATGGTGATTTGTCCTCATAATTTCCTTTTTCCAAATAATGATAGAAATTACATAATATATTCAATCATATTATAATCAATAACGACAATAATATAACCAATGATAGGCTACGGAACCAAGTATAAGCTTGTAAATAATATTCAACAAAGATGTTCACATTAAATAGCTTGATCTACTTTGCTAGCATGACTCTTTGTCAAATACAGTTATATTTTTACACACCTGCTGAAACATCTCAATAGTTGGAGAGTATGCCCTTATAGAGAAAGCAAACTTTAAGAGGTTGATGTGTAAATTGTCTAAAAACTGTCCAGCTTTCTTCAGGATTAAGTTGTAATAAGAATAATCTGATTCTATAAAAAGAAATAAAAAAAAAGTTAGTATCTTAGACAGACTGGCACACCTCACTGTAAATCTAACTTAATTAATGCCATATAATCATATCTTAGGTTTGATTATGAGCAGTCTGAGAAAAAAATCAAGATCTCAGCTGTATTATTAATTTTTGATCTTCCAGTGATATCCAAGCACTCAGCATGAGACAGGTGAAAATAATCTTGCCATTAAAATCGATTTAGAAATGCCAGCATTTCAGATCAACCTACTCCAAGGTTGTAGGGTTATATTACAAAGATTAAAATAGAGGTCCTACCTACAATTTAAGAGGAGATTAAGATTAGCAAAGCAAAGTTAAAGACAAATGACTGTTAATAAATTTCAAAGTATATGTATTAATAAATTCCACTGAGATTTAGTATAGATAACCAAGAGTAATAACTGTCCAGAATACTTCTAGGAAACAGATTTGAGCCAGATCTTCAAGAGCAAATGTCATCTTGTCTAGAACTGGAGCAAACTAACTTGAGCTGCTGGTTCCCTTCTCTAAACCCATCTCCAAAGATCCCAAAGATATAAAAGAGAAGGATGGATCCTAGAATTTAAAAATTCTCCAACACCCCTGAAGAGACAGAAATCATTTAATGGGAGAGGGCAGAAGAGAATTTCAGCAGCCTAGAGCTGAAAATGGCCTGACGGCACTAATGGGGATAATAAGCAGGGAGAAAACTTTCTATTTGTGCCCTTTTCTTTCTCTAATTTGTCCTGAGTACAGTCATTGTCTGTATCATTGCCATTGTGCCAGAAACGGCAATGTCATTCCAGGGCCAGCCAGAGGAGACAAGGTAACAACAGGGCAGCTCTGGATATCACTGGTTTAGGCATCCATAGGTTGGTTCCTGGACATCCTCTGGTAATTTCTTTTCAAGGAAAACATAAACAGAGAAATAGAAAATTCACAGGGGAATGTGAGGAAAATGAAACAAATACAAATAGAAGGAAAACGAAAAAAAGATTTGAGAGTAAATGACAGAGAAATCAGGCAGACGAGATTAACAATATGGATGCTTGTATACTCTAAGGCAGAAAATCAAGGTAATATAACAGAATAATTAAGACTATAATCCAAGAAAACTCTCTAGAATTAAAGGGTAACAAAACTACATACAAAAAGACACAGAATGATCAGCATTGCAACATTCTCTAGTAAAACTACAGGACTCTAAAGCTAAAAATCTAAGTATAGAATTCACACAAATAATCATGTATGTGAAGTACTCAAGGGCCATTAGTCCAAGAGTTAGTCATGAGGCATCAAGCAGAAAGTAAACTTCATATAACCAAGAAATGGAGAAACTGTAGCATAAAGTCTGATAGTGAGCTCTATACCATTGCTAGATCTTTTTTTTTTTTTTTGTAAGTTAGGGTTTCACTCTGTGACCTAGGCTGGAGTACAGTGGCACAATTATGCCTCACTGCAGTGTCTACTACTTGAGCTCAGAGAATCCTTACATCTCAGCCTCCCTAGTAGCTGGGAATACAGGCACATGCCACCACACCTGGCTAATTTTTAATTTTTTTTTTGTAGAGACGTGGTCTCGCTATGCTGCCCAGGCTGGTATTGAACTTTCGGGCTCAAGCAGTTCTCTGGCCTCAGCCTCCCAAATTGCTGGGATTACAGGCATGAGCCAACATGCCTGGCAAGATCAATGCTTGTGGCCAGGAGTTTGAGACCACTCTGGGCAATACAGCAAGACGGTATTTCCAGAAGAAAAAAAAAATTCGCCAGGCATGGTGGCATATGCCTGTAGCGGCTACTCAGGAGTCTGAGGTGGGAGGACCACTTGAGTTCAGAAGTTTACTTTCTATAAACTCTTGACTCCTATATCCATTAAATGGTTGATATATAAGAAGAGGCATATCTAGAATGATGAAACCTATTAATAATATTTATTCAATATTAATTCAAGAAATTTATTAACTGTCTCTTTTGTGGAAATGCATAGTCAAAAAGTTAGGAAAGAACCCTGCTTTCACGGCTTATAGTCTAACGAGAGGGACAGAATTTAAAAATTATACAGATAATTTTGGGGTTTTTTTTGAGACAGGATCTCGCTCTGTTGCCCAGGACAGAGAGCAGTGGCGCAACCACAGTTAACCACAACCTTGAACTCCAACCTCGACTTTTACGACATTTTGACTACTGGCATCTAATGTACATAAATCATTTTCATTTTTTTTAAAAAAAAGTGGCAGTGTCCACAAGCCAGTTATTAACTCACCTTATTCCTTCCATCCATAGTCAAATGTCTTGAAAGACATAACAATGCTTACCTCTACTTTCTCAACCTCTACTCACAACTTAACCTACTAAAGTCTAGATTGCTACACCAATGAAATGGCTCTCATTAAAGTTATTAATAGTTCTTCGGCTGTTAAAAATATTAGGTGCATGTTTACATTTCTTTATCTGTCTACAGTATTTGGTAACATTGTTTATTTACTGCATATTATTTTCCTGACTTTCAAGACGTCATACTTTGCTAGGTTTGCACCCACCTCTATAGGTACTCTTCCTTAGTCTCTATTGTGTGTTCTTCGTCTCATCATCTCTCAAACATTGGTGTCCTCAGGATTCTGCCCTTAGATCCTATTTTATTTTCATTCTAAGCCTTCTCCCTGTAACTTCAATTACCCTCTTCACGTTGATAATTCCAAATCCTGCCCTTTATTTTAGAATTTTTAAAATTTAAATCCCTACTCATATATCAGCTTAGCAATGTATCTCCATTAGGGTATTTTGCAAGCATTTCAAATGTGAAACACCTAAGTTGCAATTATCTTCCTACCCCAAATCTGGTTCTCAGGTACAAGCAACTGAATAATTAATGGAAAGTCATAACATTTTCTGAAAATCTCTTCCATTAAAATATACGAGCAACTTCACTTGTATAGAAACCATTAAAATCTTCAAGGACTTTGCAAATGACATTCTTACATGCTGAGCACATGGAAAAGTAAAAATAAACAAGAATTCTGAAGTCAAATAAATCTTGGTTGACATATCTCACTCACCATACAAAACTACAATAGGTTAACTAATATCATGCCACTTGACTTGAGGTGTCAATAAATACTTAACTCTAAACAGGTGCAGTGGCTCATGCCTATAATACCAGCACTGTGGGAGGCCGGGCAAGAGGACTGCTTGAGCCTAGGAGTTCAATACCAGCCTAAGCAACATAGTGAGATCTTGTCTTTACAAAATTTTTTTAAAAAATTAGCTGGGTGTGGTGGTGCATGCCTGCAGTCCCAGTTACAGGGAAGGCTGAGGCAGAAGGATTGCCTGAGCCCAGGAGGTCGAGGCTGTGGTGAGCCATGATCATGTCACTGCACTACAGCACGGGAGACAGAGACCTTGACTCAAAAAAAAAAAAAGATAATAATAATTAATTCTGGCAGAACCATATAATTATTTTTTTTTTGAGTTGGAGTCTCACTCCGTCCCGCAGGCTGGAGAGCAGTGGCACGCTCATGGCCACCCCAGCAGCGAACTGCTGGGCCTTCTGACTCAGCCTTCCAAGTAGCCGGAACTACAGGCACCCACTATCACACTCAGCTAATTTTTTCATTTATTGTAGAGACGAGGTCTCGCCAAGCTGCCCAGGCTGTTCTTGAACCCATGGGCTCAGGCAATCCCCTCACCTTGGCCTCTCAAAGTGCTGGGATTACAGACTTGAACCACCGCACCGGGCCTATAATTTTTTTTTTAATCAGGCAATTCAATGTTTAAAAGGTCTTAATTTTCAGGCACGTAATATAAAGTGTTCACATTAAATGGTATGAAACTAGTACTTGAATTCAAAAAGTTAAATGTTCAGTATTTACATTTTTTTAAGGCAAGTGGATCACTAAGAATTATTCTTCAGTAAAGAGTATTTAGAGGGTGAATATTCAACAACCTAAAATATTACAAGTAACCAAGGACTTAAATGTTTCCTTTGGGACAAATGTCTTGAAAACTTATTCAGTAAAATCTAACAGTCAGCATAATTTCTTTTATATCATTCTTTCCCACATTTAACAGGGTCAGCAGTAATCTCACACACACATGCATTAGACTCTTACCATTATAAATGAAGTGAACAGAATTATATTGTAAGTGTTAAGCTCTTATCATCTAATAGAATACTTTGCTGTATGTTTCCTTCAGTATAGTATGAAGGCCTTAGAACATATATCACATTTATTTATCTGTGTATATCCAGCATCTAAAGCAGTGGCTAAAATCTCTTATGACTAAAAAAATTTTCAGGAAAAGTTTTTTGAAAGGGAAAACAATTTGTTTTTGGAAAATTTCAGTTTAAAATGTCATTAAAGCTATGTCTGATCTCTTTATTTTTAAAATTAATCTTGTGAAATCATAAAATTACTCCAGTAAATGAACACTTAAAACATTTGTCACTGTCGTATTTACACTCAGGAATAAAATCATAAACTATATTCACCCAGAGAATAATGTTTTTTCTCTGCCTGAATGGCTAAAAATTTCAATCTCAAGGAATTCTATATTCATATAATCTATTCTATTCTCTGTAGAGATAGGAAAACAACTAAACTTTCTTTAGAAAAATTAACCTGTTAGCTTCTGCTACGAAAACCTATTCAATATCTTTACCATATTAATAAACACTTGTTAATTCTAAGGAAGATGGATGTATGTATAGATAAATACATATACTCCCATATATTTATAAAAACAGGAATTACTAGCTCTATCTTATGGATTGTGAAATGAAAGCACATTGATTACCTGACTTTTTGAGGGCAAGTATTAAAAATCTCTGTAACAGTTTAAGAATAAAAGTACTCTGGCATCAAAAAGGCACTATACATGGCACTATATATATATTTTCCAAACCCACAGAATGTACACCACCGAGAGTGAACCCTAATGCAAACTAGGACTTTGGGCAATAATATTCCGTCAATGTAGGGTCATCAATTTTAACAAATGTACCATGCTAGTCAGGAATGCTGATAATGAGGGAGGCTATTCACGTGTGGGAGCAGGAGTCTGTGAGAAATCTCTGTACTTTCTGCTCAATTTTGCTGTGAACTTATTAAAACTGCTTTAAAAAATAAAGTATTTTTAAAAAGGAAAAATGTACTATTAGTAGATGCAAAACTAACACTATTTCAAATAAACCTAGAGGAAAACAAACTATAACTCAGCAAATTTTTTTAAAGATACAGGGTCTATGGTGCTCAGGATGGTCTCTGACTCCTGGGCTCAAGCACTCCTCCAGTCTCAGCCTTCTGAGTAGCTAAGCTATAGGCGCACCAGCAATTTTGATTTCTTCCTGATCAGAATGCAATATTACTAATTATATGAATTCTCTTATAATAAAGTATTAAAGCCTAATATTTTTGGAAATAGATGCTTAGAATGATTTCCATTAAAACATCTTTTCAAATTTAATGTTCTGATTTATTAACCCAATTAGGCATTCACACTTAACCATTACTTTTAAAAAACAATAAACAAGTGGGGACACCACAAGCAGACCCAAAGCTTACCTGTTTAATGACCACTTATCTGCCTAATCCTGAATTGTACCCCACATCTTTAAAATAAAGATTAATTAAAAAAAACAAACATATCTAATGTGTGCACAAAAATACAGATCTTACGAGTTACAATTTGTACATCACCTACCTGTTTGCTTATAAATTGCTAATTCTTGTACAGTTTCCAAAAACTGCCAGAATTTTTCATTGCTTTCTTCTGCCATAAATTCACTATTTAAAAAAAGTAATCGTTAGTAGACGTAAGTGAAAAATGGTTTATATACTATAAACTACACTTTAGAACAAAATTATAACTTCCGGCAAAAACAAAAATCTCCAAAAATTAATGTCCAATTACTGATTTCCATTTACTATAACACAGCAAGAGAACAAATTGATGATTTTTACCTGAGGTATCATTCTCAACTTTAAGCAAATAATCATGTCTGAAAAAAACTGCGCAAGAAATTATTTTTGAATTTTCCTTATTATTAGCAACAACTAAAAATTTCATAATTTATATTCCATATGAAATACCACCGAGAAATATAACTCTATGGTAATGAAGAACATTATATAAAGGTAAAAAATACAAACTGCCTGTTCTTCATAAACAAAAATGGTTCTATAAATACTTGATAAGAGTCATCATTTTTATTTAACTATTTATTTGTGTAGATAATCTTTTCAGTTATTTAAAACAAAGCAGTACTCAATTTTAAAACTTAACTGGGGCTAGGCTTGGTGGCCTAGCCCATAATCCCAGCACTTTGGGAGGTCGAGATGAGTGGATTGCCTGAGCCTGCGGGTTGGAGACCAGCCCGGGCAACTTGGCAAGACCTCATCTCTACAATAAAAATAAAAAACAAAAAAATTAGCAGGGCATGGTAGCACGTGCCTATAGTTCCTGCTATGTGGAAGGCTGAGGTGGAAGGATTGCCAGAGCCCAGCAGGTTGACACCGGGTTGGCCGTGAGCATGCCACCGCACTGCAGCCTGGGTGATGAAGTGAGACTCCAACTCAAAAAAATAAATAAATAAAACATAACTGGAAGCTGATATACTGTACTAGTCTTTGGACTTAAAGCCCAAACAAGCTCCCATTTTCCAGAGTGTATATAAGGAAAAGAAAAAATGGCTAAAGCCATTTAAGGCCTTTTAGTAATAATGAAATAAATAAAAGATTATTTAGCTCTTATAAAACAAAAGGCAAAATACCTAAAACAAACAGAGCTAACTACTCAAACTACAAAGAAAACAGTCACAAGCAGATGGTTACAGATTCTTTGTTATTGTCATCTTATACTTCTTTCTAGCTTTGGTAAACTTAAACTAATACTTAATATAAATGGAAAGTATTGAGGACATCCAAGACCATGAAGAGTAACTCTTGTGAGTCTAAGATGGACACTAAAGAGAAAAAGGGGGTGAGAAAAGCACATTAATTCATCAACATAAACATGACAAGCATAGGAATTTAAAGTAATAAGTAACTTCAAATCATCTCTTGCTATTAAATGGTATCCAAATCAATGACTTGAAAAAGAAAAAAAAAAGAAAGAAAGAAAGCTAAAAGGACTGGAAACAATGGAAAACACTAGACAGAATGTAAAAAAGGGATGGAACAAAATCTTCAGGAGCAACAACTGACCAGCTACAGACAAGCTCAGATACTGACCAACCACAGGTAAAAAAAAGAGTTCTTCCAAATACCACAATCTATTCACTGAAGTGTGACCCTTCAAAGTGATCACCTTAAGAAAGTATTCCCTCCATCCATCCCTGCTATAATCTCTTTGGAACTCTTCTAGAATCTCTTTTAGGGGCAATTTGCCAGTAATTCATCACTCCTTTGAGGAGGAAACTTTCTTGAGAAACTAAGCCAGCTTCCAAGGTGAGATATTACCTTTGGACAAAGTTTGGCAAAGGGCAAAACAGCAACAAATCTGGTATTTCCAATCTGTTCACTTGTCTTATAAAATATTTGGCTCTAATCACAATGTTTTCCAAAAAATTCTGCTACAAAGTAAAAGATTTATTTCTGTAGAGGGTATTTTTATATGTACTAAGGAATATGACAGGCCAGGCATAGTGGCTCAAGCCTGTAATCTCAGCACTTTGGGAGGCCGAGGTGAGGGGATTGCCTGAGTCCACGGGTTCGAGAACAGCCTGGGCAACTTGGCAAGACCTCATCTCTACAACAAATTTTTTAAAAAATTAGCCAGGTGTGGTAGGGTGCACCTGTAGTTCCAGCTACTTGGAAGGTTGAGGCAGAAGGATCGCCTGAGCCCAGCAGGTCGAGGCTGCGGTGGACGGGAGCGTGCAACTGCACTCCAGTCTGGGTGACGGAGTGAGACTCCAACTCAAAAAAAAAAAAGAATTTGACAGTAATTATAAGTAGAATTCCAAATATAATTTCAGCAAGAGTAACACCAGTGGAATAAATGCAGTTCAGACGTGTAAGTTAAGGTTATATATATTTTAAGAATTTAGTCTCATCAGTTTATATTCATCCTAGCAAATATGATTATATTATAAATGTCTTTAGGCAGGGGATGTACCTTATTCATCTTTGTTTCCTACACAGTTCTCATTATAGGACCATATTCAAGTTAGGCACTCAAATTTTTAGACTGAACTGGAAAATATATGTATATCTATGTATTTATAGTTTTTTGTTGGCAAGCTCAATTTTTGGAATTAAAGCATTAGTCTTAGAAATTTCTCTTACCATCTCCCACATTATTTTTCTTAAGTCCCTATTTCCCAAGCTCCTTCAACCTACTCAATGCTCAAGTCTCCCTCTTCCACAGTTATTCTCCTCCACCTCTTTTTTTCTAAAATTTTGATGTAAGAGAAACATGAAGAAACTGAAGGTGAGCAGAATAATGAAGTCTAGCAAATAATTTAATTGCAGAGGTTGAAGAAATTACAGGCTTTTAGCCTGCTAAAAGGTATAGTGAGAAAAATTTTAGTTTATATAATAAAGGACCTGCTAACAGTTTAGATTTCAAAACAGAACAATCGAGTAGCACTGAGCATCTTGTTTGCATTAACTAAGCACAGAGCAGTTTCCACAGGTCAGGTACAGTGTAGAGGTCATTCTGATGGTGGCTTGAAGTATACCTTACCTTATCAAAAGTCCCTTCTATTGAATTAACATTATTGAGTATTTAACTTTCGTGCACTATGCCTTGGTAAAACAAACATGAATATCTTGTCTCTGAAGCTCACATTTGAACAGCAGAGGTTAGCATACACGATACCTTACAATAAGGATTCCAAAAGTACTGACCAAATGTTATGAGAACATAAAAGAAATATATGAGTTTTATCAGGGGAAAGTATCAGGGATAGAGAGAATAATGTTATGTCCACAAATAAGAAGGTATCAATGAGAAAAGGACTGCAGTAGAGTGACATATTACTGGCCTGGGGCTGCCAAGTCATTACTGGAGGATTCTCTACTGATCATTCCTGGATAACTCCACATCTCTATATTGGGCTTCTGTTGAAATGGTTGAGTCTACCCATGAATCCATTCAGCCACATAAATTTATTCTCTCACAATTCTAAAGGCTGAAAGTCTGATATCAAGGTTTTTGTTGTTTTGGTTTTTTTTTTGAGTTGGAGTCTCACTCTGTCACCCAGACTGGAGTGCAGTGGCCGTTCCCGGCCACCGCAGCCTCGCCTGCTGGGCTCCGGCGATCCTTCCGCCTCAGCCTTCCAAGCAGCCGGAATTACAGGCATGCGCTACCACGCCCGGCTGATTTTTTGATTTATTGTAGAGATGAGGTCTCGCCAAGTTGCCCAGGCGGGTCTCAAACCCGCGGGCTCAGGCCATCCACTCACCTCAGCCTCCCAAAGGCGCGGGATGACAGGCTGAGCCACCGAGCCCGGCTGACTTTCCACGTCTATCTAGTTACGGAAATACTGACGGGCAAACTTCAGTAGCTACAAGTCCCGCAGAGTAAGGGATACCTCAAGACTTCATTCCAGGCGAAGAAACATGGAAAAAAAGAATAACTCGTGGGAAGCTTCCCGCCCCCACCGAGCCTAGGAACTGCAAGAGGGATGTCATCATTACAAAATGCGGCGCTTGAAGTGTACTGTCTGCTGTACCGGACCGCCTGCCTCAGTGGAAGCGCTTGCATTAATAAGCGCCACACTCCGCCTCCCGTTCTTTTTTTTTTTTTTTTTTTTCTTTCGTAAGCGCTAATAAAACCCAAATGAATTAAACCCGAGCAGGGAAGTTTTACAACTGTAACGACGCAGCGTGCGACGCGAGGGGGTAGGATTGCCGAACGAGTGTTGCAAAGAACCGAGGGGGAGGGCGGACAGGGGA